TGAGAGAAGGCGCTGACTACATTGTTAAAGATCTTCAAAGGAAAGATGATATCCTTCAAGTTAAGCTGATAATAAGGCAGTCTCTGGCATATTTAATTAAATAGAAGATTGGGAAAGCCTATTTTACATTCATTGCTTGCATTCATGAGCAGATCTTTTTGCTACCTCTAGGCTCATTACCTACTCCTCTTTAAATTTATGCCTAGATAAATAAACTAGAAGAATGTTTCTGGATGTCACAATTGCCGTACGAGTTATTCTGTAATATCGTAAAAAGACCAATCTAACAATCGTTAGAGAACATGTCAAGGCTTCCTCAAGGTTCCGGAACAAGATTTATCAAAATACAAATTGCACAATGTATGTTTAAGAGAACCGTATGCTACCACTCCTAAATATAGGGTCGATTTCCAGAATAGTGAAATTAAATGAGATTACTCTAAAATTACTCTTATGAGGGGATCTTCCTCATTTTTTGCAAACACCACAACCATAGAATGAAGATAAAAATAATGAGTTCTATGAGCTGAGATGTCTAAAAATGACAGATGCAAAGCCACTAAATAAATTTCCTAATATTTTTTCGCAGAGTAATAGATGGGTCGTGACGAGCGATTGGCAAAGAGATAATTATGCAAAAGAAAAAAAGAAACGGTGCATAAAATTTTATTAACTAAGCATGGGTAATCTCTATAACATAGGGTGTTTTACAAGCAAGCATCGAATAATCAATACTTTATTGAAAAAGCTGAATAAACCATCTGAATCTTATGCAAGAACCTCCTTGGGATATTGTTTACTTTGGTATTTCTTTTTAGTAAAGTAATATGCTAATCCTGTTGGTGACAACAAATCGGTTGCCTTTAAAAATTAAAAAATATTTGTAACCTAGACATATTTTTGTAAAAACAATGTTTGCACTTAATTATATAACATTCAACTAAATTGCCCAGGCTTTTTTCTTTGTGCGCGTCGGTTGCTTCATCTTTTTCGTGCCCTTCACGATGTACATCCTCGTGGGCATAGTTGACACTCTGGTTATCGAGCCCAAGCACTTTGGGTCAGATATGAAAGAAATAATAGAAGCTGAATTAAACTCTCGCTTTTCTAATAAAGTATACTTGGATGGCTTTAAGTCACGCTAGGTCGTCTTTAAAGTTGGGTTATTCATCTCCCTTTGGGACATACTGAAGATCGAGGAGAGTTTTATTTCCCCCTCTGATGGCTCATATAATACAGTCGGTAGGCTATTGCATTATTTAATTTGCAATTAAGTTCATTTTCGATTTGTTGTCTTTCGGCCTTTTATCGATGAGGTCTTGTTAGGTACCGTCAAAAGTTGCAGTCGCGAGGGGGTATCAGTATCACTATCATTCTTCGATGATATTCTCATTCCGGCAGATAAAATGAGACATCCTTCACGATTGTAAGACTTAATTTATATAATTATCAGCGATTTTGATTCTTCATCGTGGATATGGCAATATTCTTATGAAAATGAGACGGCCGATTTACCCATTGAAAAGAATGATACAATAAGGTGATAAAAAAACTTAGCAAACAATTATTTGTATAATTTACACTGTTAAACGTTTTACCTTTCAGGTTTAGAGTTGTGGACGAAATATGGACTGATCCTAATCCCGACGGAGGCCCCGCTAATTTGGCTAGACAAAGCTCTGATTCTGCAATAATTTCAGATGCCTCGGGCAAAATCGCGCCTTATACAATAATTGTAAGACTATTCGCTATTTTATTAAAGCGACTTTGGTGTATGCTTGCATGTATGTCTAGATTGTAATCATGACTTCTTTTTTCTTTAGGCGTCAATAGTGACTGATGGCTTGGGACTCACATGCTGGTGGATAAATTAAACATTGTTTTTTATTGTACATACTTGTTTATTACCTGTGACCCTTATATTTTTAATTAATGACTTTTGTACATTTTTTTATTGCATCACACTCATTATTTAAGATGCTTTGAGTTATAATGGCTCTGCTTTTGTAGATTTGCATGCAATATTCGTAATATTTTGGCATTGTGCTTTGGGCCTGCCCATATCCTTGAATATATAAGTACCTCAAATGTCTGTTGAGATCTTGGAGCGAAAATATTTCATTTAGATTTTGTCGATTATTATGTGACTCATTCTAGATTCGCGAGTATTCTACTTTATTTATTTACTTATCTCTTATTTTCAAAATCTCAAACAGTTCTAATTGTTCTTTCTTTGCACATATCGACATCACTACACAGCATTTCTCTAATAGGCTAGATGCTATCTCAAGAGCTTACGGTTACTGTATATTCCAGAAAGCCATCTAGTGCCCAGTTAAAATTTATTATATGGGTTCTATTGTATTTGGGCCTATCAGCCTTTATAGGATGAGTTTTAGTTTCAGTTTTTTCGTATTTGCCTTAGCCCAAGCAGCCTGCAATGGCCCCCATTTTGTTTATTGGTTATGTAGGCAACGAGAAGTTGTAGCGTTCTTTGCTGACAGTTGTGATTAATTAATCAATCATCATCTTGACGACCTTATGTTGGGACCTGTCTAATGTTTATTATTTGTCTTGGTTCTGTAGATTGAGAAAATTGGTTTCGAGGGTGATTAAATTTCATATTAAGTGATGGCATGACAAGGCCTTTACTACATCTCGGCAGGTGGTGTGGTAACTTTGCTATATGTAGGTACCAGGCTTGTGATCTGCAATTCAAAGCTCTATTGTGTGAACTGATTACTTAGTAGGACGTCTGGAGATATCCTGTTTGTTTCGTCGCTATTGTTTTATTTTTATCCGTTATTTTGCTTGGTTTGGTGGTTGAGACTGCCAATTTCGCAAGTTGATTGTCAC